ATTATAGAATGGATATCAATTCACTGGAGTCGGTGCAGCGAAGAATGACGAAAATGATTCCGAGACTTAGAAACCTACTATATCAAGAAAGGTTAAAGAAACTAAACATGCATTCCCTAGAAAGACGAAGAGTGCGGGGAGACATGATAGAAGTATTTAAGTGGGTGAAAGGAATCAATAAAGGGGATATAGATAAAGTTCTTATAATATCCGAGCAGGATAGGACTCGTAGCAACGGATTTAAGTTGGATAAGTTTAGGTTTAGGAGAGAGAGGAAGGAACTGGTTCACAAATAGGGTGGTGGACGAGTGGAACAAGCTTAGCAACTTTGTAGTAAGTGCTGGAGCGCTGGAAAGTTTTAAAAGGAGGCTAGATAGATTCATGGATGATAAGAGACTGGTAGTAACTCTCGACAGGAGCTGGCATGCACAGGCCAACCAACCTATTGCAGACTCCTTATTTTCTTAAGTTCTTATGTAAGTCACTGGAAAAGCTAATCAGATGTTGGGAATGATAAAAAAAAAAAACTCGTTTGATTGACTGTGCCATGAACCGGTCAATATTTTGTATAAGATTTTGGGTGAAATTGCAGATTACAGCAACCAAAGAATCTGATAAATAAATGTTACCGAACCTAAAGTAATATAAGATAATGATCATAAAAAAAAATTCTATCGGTTGATTGTAGCGAATTTCCGGAATTCTGTGGTTGCTGTTTACTGCAATATTACCAGATTTTTGGGTGAGGCCACACTTGGAATATGCTGTTTAGGCCTGGTGTCCATACGAACATACCTGAGGAAAGATATTAACAAAATTTGCCTGTGGAAACAGACAAATGTAGTACCCATATTCAAAAAGGGAGACAGAGCATCAGCGTCAAATTACCAGCCGATTAGTTTGACATCGGGGGTCCGACTAATTACCCAAATGTAGCCGCAATGAAGTCAAATAATGGTCCTACATGAATAAATCGGGTTACACATCACTTCTCGACTAGTATTTGGTGTCACAAAGTAAAAAAAATTGGAAAAAGTTATTTAATTTGAGTTAATAGATCGCGTGCATGTACCGAGGGAGCGAGTAATTACCCAAATGTAGCCGCAATGAAGTCAAATGATGGTCCTACATGAATAAATCGGACTGCCAATCACTTCTCGACTGGTATTTGGTGTCACGAAGTCACAAAAAATTGGTAAACTTAATTTAATCTGAGTTAATAGATCGAGTGCATGTACCTAACCTAACCTAACCTTGACTAGTATTTGGTGTCACGAAGTCACAAAAAATTGGTAAACTTAATTTAATCTGAGTTAATAGATCAAGTGCATGTATCTAACCTAATCTAATCTAATCTAACCTAACACAACTCAGATTAAATTAAGTTTACCAATTTTTTATGACTATGACACCAAATAATAATCGAGAAGTGATTCACAGCCCGATTTACGCTTGTACGACCATCATTTGACTTCATTGCGGCTACATTTTGCTACATTTGGGTAATTAGTTGGACCGGACATCAGCAGTGGGGAAATTTCTTGAATCCATTATAGCAAATAGCATCCGATCGCATTTAGAGAAAAGCAAATTAATCTACGACTCTCAACATGGGTTTACAAAGGGAAAATCTCGTCTAACAAATCTGCTGACGTTTTTTAGGAAAGTCTTCGAGGTAGTAGATAACGACGAAAATTACGAAGTTATTTATTTAGACTTTAGCAAAGCGTTTGACAGAGTACCGCATCAGAGGATTCTGAGAAAAGTTAAGGCTCATGGTATCGAGGGGAGTTTTAAACTGGATAAATCATGGCTCACCGATGGAACACAGAGGGTCAGCGTAGATGGTGTTAAATCTGAGTGGGGCTGTGTAACCAGTGGGGTTCCCCAGGGGTCAGTACTGGGCCCACTCTTGTGCAAAATCTACATAAACGATCTAGATACTTTGATCAGCAGTGACATAAACAAGTTTGCGGTATTTAAATAAACTGCAGGATTGGTCAGAAAAATGGCAAATGAAATTCAACACCAGCAAGAGCAGCATACTTAATATTGGAAGAACAAATACTGTACTGTCAATGTATACAGCCTTAACAAAATCAACCTAGAGAGGTCGACTTGTGAAAGAGACTTAGGGGTACTTGTAAGCCCGGACCTACGGCCTAGAAAACAGTGCGTTAATGTTCGAAATAAGGCAAACAGAGTACAGTATTGGGTTTTATATCTAGATGTGTAAGTAATAAGAGTGCAGAGGTCTTATTGCAACTATATCTTGCGCTAGTCAGGCCGCACCTCGATTATGCTGTTCAGTTCTGGTGCCCTTATCATAAAATGGATATCAATTCACTAGAGTCGGTGCAGCGAAGAATGACGAAAATGATTCCGGGACTTAAAATCCTTCCATATCAAGATAGGTTAAAGAAACTAAACTTGCATTCCCTAAAAAGAAAAAGAGTGCGGGGAGATATGGTAAAGTATTTAAGTGGGTGAAAGGAATCAATAAAGGAGATATAGTTAAAGTTCTTATAATATCCGAACAGGATAGGACTCGTAGCAACGATTTTAAGTTGGATAAGTTTAGGTTTAGGAGGGAGATACTGTAGGAAGAAACTGGTTCACAAATAGGGTGGTGGACGAGTGGAACAAGCTTAGCAACTTTGTAGTAAGTGCTGGAACTCTGCAAAGTTTCAAAAGGAGGCTAAATAGATTCATGGATGATAGAGTGTGGTAGTAACTCTCGACAGAAGCTGCCATGCACAGGCCAACCGGCCTATTGCAGACTCCTTATTTTCTTATGTTCTTATTTAAGTTGGATAAGTTTAAGGTTTAGGAGGGAGATAGGAAGGAACTGGTTCACAAATAGGGTGGTGGACGAGTGGAACAAGCTTAGCAATTTTGTAGTAAGTGCGGGAATGCTGGAAAGTTTTAAAAGGAGGCTAGATAGATTCATGGATGATAGAGTGGTAGTAACTCTCGACAGGAGCTGCCATGCACAGGCCAGCCGGCCTATTGCATGTCATATGAAAGAAGGAGCTTAGAATAACTACACTCAAGAAAAGAAGAAAGTGCAGTGACTTATAAGAAAGCTTTCAAATCATGCCAAATCATGAATGGTGTTGAACAGATCCACAAATCAAAGTTTTTCCAAGATAACAAAAACTGTTTGAAGGGATATCACAAAATCCTCAAGAAACACAACAGAACGAACAGTAAAAAAAACTTCTCACAAAGAGTAGTTGTTGACTACTGGAACAGACTACCAAACAATGTTATAAAGTCGGCCACAGTAAATAACTAAGAAAAATTACAGTAAGGTAGTAGGCAGCTACCAAACAGGGAGGTACTACCGCCTGGGAAGATGTTGGAAGCAAAATGTGTTGTCTAATGGTAGACCCTGCTGCCATATGGCATCACGAAAATTGTGACCAAGTCCCAGCTTGCTGATCTGACTTTCTGCCTCATTTACACACAATTGCATGGTCTCAATTGTTTATCTTACTATTGACAACACAACATACATATATTGTTTCTCACTTCCGATTTTTTTCATTTTTGTACTTATTATTATTAATAGTAATAGTATTATTATTATCATTATTAATTTACTTTCAATTTTGTATTAATTATAAATTTTATTTACTATGAATTATTATTATTACCTTTTTGTATTTATTATTATTATTCATACAGTATTATCATTATTAATTTATTTTCAATTTTGTATTATTTATTTTAAATTTTATTTACTATGAATTATTATTATTACCCTTTCGCCCCCAGGCCCCGATGTGGGTTAGTGACCTGTGCCCCAGGTGTACTAATCCCCGTAAAAAAAAAAAATATATATATATATATATATATATATATATATATATATATATATATATATATATATATATATATTACTCATGCAAGCTTGGAAAAACACACTGGTAATTTTTCAGGAAATTCGAAGTGGTGATATTTTTTTTCTTCATATTCATCCCACAGCATCCAGTGACGGACTTGTCATGATTTGCTTTTCTTGTGCACGATTTTAGCTTGTGCTCAACAACTAGTTGCAAATGCAAATCAACCAAGGTGGTGAAGAAGAAATGGCCTTCATTTTTTCTGTATTTTGTCTATTTACCAATGTTTTAATCGTTTTCTTTATTACATAATTAATATTAATGTATAATAATAATAATTCTCGAGTCGTCTGAATACATGTGTAATTTCTATTTTTGTTTATTTACCAATGTTTATTAATATTCATGTATAATAACAAAAATTCTCGAGCCGTCTGTATACATGTGTAATTTCTATTCGTTTAAATAGTAACTTGCAATTTGTCGCTAATACCAGCGCCTAAACGGATTTGGTATTGGTGACGATTTTTTTTTTGGGGTGACGAACCGAGTTGGTGACGAAATGGGGTGTATCCCCTCAAACAATTACATGCACGTTTGCACATTTACATACCTAAATATACATATGTAAAATAATATACCAGGCTTATCAGTCTATTGCACATGTTAATGCAGTTTTTTTCAGTAAGTTTTGTCCAAGCGGCATTCAAAAGCTCTTAGGGTTTGAGTTGCACACGTTCGTAAGAATGGAGGAATCTGCAGTGGGCATACTATTGGCACATACTAGGCACCCCCATTTATACCCTACCCATATCGTTCCATTTAATCCCAATTAAAACAGCTCTACGACAGCCACATACGGTATGCCATCTGGAATATAACAAGACTCGAGAAACCAGGTTTGTACTTCGATTCAAATGGAAATCATTTGTTAAGACTTTCTACAGCTGAAGCCTTTTAATAACCAGTAGGTGCAAACGAACCACCTTGCGCTGCACCACATTAATTCCAGTGAAATCCATTTTGACGTTCGGTAAAATTTTACTTTCACACAACCATGGAATCTAAAGAATTTTATCTTTGCACTCAATAGTTTAGACAATTCTAAGACACTTTTCAAACTACCTTTCTGTACACACTGGAGAAGCTTACCTGAAGGTTCATAAAAAGGGTGACCCACTGGTAGTACTTGTGATGTTTTATCTGGTATTGGTCGTCCGGCCCATGTATTTGAGTATTGGCTACGCCAGGGTGAGGAACTTCCTCACCTACCACAGCTCCAGTAAGGGACGGGATAGTGAAGGTCGAGTGGATCCAGCAATATGTATCCATGATCGAGGCGTCTACACCTTCGACGATACAGTCTATGGGGTCACCGAAGTATTGCTTCTGTGTTATTAACAAACTAAAAGCCACCAAAAGAAACATTGTCGCCTTGTAATGCATCCGAAATATATTATTGTCGATACTCACGGAGTCTATCTTTAATAGACCCCGGATAGAGCCAAACACATCATACATTTTGGCGGTTCCAAGTTTCGTACACAGCACCAGTACAAAAGTATCTCACAAGACGGGCAGCGCGGTGAACTAGTGTTCCCAGTCAGAGTCGACGCCACACTCCTTGGTAGGCTGGTCAGCTGGCTAGCCTCGCACAGGCTCCCACAAGGGCCGTTCCTGAAAAGGAGGAACCTCGAATGGCAGGTTGTGTAGGGGCATGCAGCAACTTTTATCCTGAAGGAATGTTACTGTTCAATGCAGGGTTAATATATGTGATTAATTTCAATATTGAGTTAAAAAAAATCGTGGCCTACACCAGGATATAAAGATAATTTGAACAGAGACAAAGCCACCATCATTTGCCCGGAGGACGGCGGTCAGTGGGCAGAGACGCTCATCACATCTGCCAATATTGACTTATTTGTTATTGTTATGAAATGATGTAACATTTTTAAATAATATATTGACATCTTTATCGCCTTTTTAGTCACATACTTTTAAATTAAAATTATCAACTCCAATAAGATGGTATAAGATAAGATAATGCATAACTAAAGCCGTGGTTATGGCAACACTCCATTTCACTCAGGCCGAGGGTAGTTCACAGCTTTCTGCTTCTCTCTCGCTGCTCAATTTCTGGTAACTTACGTGCAGCGTCCACGTAGTGTCATGAGGATGAAGTCAGACAAACTGGCGAATCAAACTCTCCCCCGTTTTACCGATAATAATAATAAAAAGAGTGCGAACAGTTAAAACATTAACAAAATACTTTAGAGCTATTAAAATTCATTTCCCTGAGCATTCTAAATTCATATAACTTCCACAACTGTTACTGTTGCAATAATTATTATATTGCAGCTACTTTTAAGATAATTGTTATAATACTGCTACTAATAGAATTAAAGGAGAAAATGAATGTAACCTAAGGGTATTGGAAACTGACAATAGTATTTTTGTTCCATAAGGCCGAGTGGTTGTTGCATCAATGAGCCTTTGTACAACCGGGATACGGACAAAAACCCCAACGGACAAAAACCCCAACGGACAAAATCCCCACCGGACAAAAACCCCACCGGAAAAAATCCCCTAGGACAAAATCCACACCCCTACCGGACATAAACCCCACATAGTAAAAAAAAAACAGAATTTGTTTAAAGTTTTCAATAATTTTCTTACCATTACTGTCCTCACTTTTTGAGACCTCAGGGGACCCGTGACCTCACAATCTTTGGTCTCTCATGTCTGTTTAAAGACGTTGGTACCATGAGGCGAACTGTATAAAAACCTTGTTCACTTGTGTACTAATTCACTTTGAATGCAGTCGGAAGCTAGATAGCTCGTTTCTATTTTACATACAAATTTCATTTAAGGTTAGGTTAGGTTAGGTTCCAGTAGAGATGGGGTTTTTGTCCGTTAGAGGTGGAGTTTTTGTCCTAGGGGTTTTTGTCCGGTGGGGATTTTGTCCTGGGGTTTTTGTCCTAGGGGACTTTGTCCGGTGGGTTTTTTTGTCATGGACCCTGTACAACCACCACTGTTAGTGGTCAGTGGTGAGCAAACTTCCAGTAAGTAGTTGGCAGTACCAACTTGGCACACATACCTTGTACAGTATTTTAAAATAAAACTGGAGTGTTCAAATTTATCACGAAAGCACGCATACGCTTACAAGAACATGCATAACACTCAGACATCAAATTAGAGATTTAATTCACCTGAAGTACTTTTACCTTTTTAACCTCTTCGCCACCGATCGGCTCGTTAGCAGTTCGGGCGGGCGGTCATGTTTCTAGTAACGCACTGTTGGCAAGTACTGGGCATGCACTGGTTGCTGACTGTAACTATCTGGTCTTGAAAGAGCTCACACTTGATGCCGTCAGAAGACTCAGAAAAGTTTGCCCTCAGGTTTTTGGACTTGTGTTCCCACCATGACTTAATTATATTCAGGGCAGTCATAAAAACTGTCTAACCGTTAGCTAAGGTGATCCTAATTCTTACCTAACCTCATCCCCCAAATAGTGTTAGGGTGGTTAATCTTAAGGTGAAATAAGCAACTGGTGGTCAATCTTCAGGTGTTCTCTTTGAAGAGTTGCTTAAGGTTGGGTAATACTAGAATGTATTTTATTTCAGTTTTTAAATATAATTATTATTCTCACTAAACTACGCACATTTTCATGCATATGGATCCAGCTTCTAGTTTTACATGTGTTTATACTAAAATGTACACATTCTGTACATACTGGTAATGGGTGTTCGTTGTATACTTATATATTGGTAGTGGTTGTTTGATACTTATACCGTTTGTTTGTTTCTGTATTTATAAATTGATAGTGGGGGTTTTATATACTTATATACCTGAACTGTATATTGATAATGGATGTTTGTTTCTGTATTTATATATTGATAGTGGGGGATTTATACTTATATACATACACTGTATATTGTAGTGTATATTCATAATGAATGTTTGTATATTTATATATTAATAGTGGGTGTTTGTGCACTTACGTATATACCGGTACTGGCAATAGATGCTGGAATACTTATATACAGTACGAGTAGTAGGTGTTTGTTTGTATGTTTATATACTGATAATGGGTGTTTGTTCACCTATATATTGGTAATAGATGTTTATTAGTATACTTTTTACTGGTAGTGGATGTTTGTTTATAACTTTATACCCTTAAATACTGGTAGTGGATGTTTGTTTGGATGCTTATATGCTGGCAGTAGATGTTTGTTTATATACATTTACACTGGTGTTTGTACCTTTATATACTACTGTTGGGTGTTTTACACACCCATACCGGGATAAGGATAAAATCCCCTAGGACAAAAACCCGCGGACAATAACCCCGCGGACAAAAAGCACACCGAACCAAAAACCCCATCGAACATAAACCTCACCCTACCGGACAAAACCCTACAACGGACAAAACCCACAACTGACAAAATCCCCTCATAGTAAAAACTAAAACAACATCTATTTAATGTTCATAATCGCGAACGTTTTCAATAATATTCTTACAAATCCACTTTGATTTTATCTCTTACTAAGCCAATGTATGTATGGAACATTATGAAGCGTAGGATATATGGAAGAAAAAATAAATAAAGCTCTATTTAAGCCTCAATATTTATCTCATGGTAGAAAATAAAAGAAACTTATTTACAGTTTTTAACAATTTCTTACAAATAACAATATGAAGTGAAGGTTATATGAACACAAAAAATATAAATACACATATACCTGTTACATACGTGTATATGTAATAATCAATACCTTATTTTTTAATTACATCAATCATTTGTTGTACATCCGCGATATTGATATTCATACAACCTCCTCCTTTGCACACACACACACACACATATATATATATATATATATATATATATATATATATCACGAATGAATCCCGACCACAATTAGTATCAAGTCATTGCGCAGTTTGACGCCGTACCACAATACTATCGAAAATGTTCATGGTGTCATAATGAATCCGCTGGTATGAACGCGAGGTACATATACTTCTTTTAGTCCATACGCGACTTTGAACAATCAACCTCACAATCCCCGACCTACTGGTGGATGACGCTGGCGCCCGACACCAGACGCCGTTATTTCATAAAATATCGAGCTGATGGTCATTGAATGCCGTGCTTTTTATGGTGGTGTCAGTAGCATTTTACCGAATCAAAGTCCGCGTGTTATATGGACTAAAAATGAAGTATACATATGTACCTCGCGTTTCATACCAGCTGGATTCGGTAAAATGCTACTGACACCACATAAGAGGCACGGACAGTTTCCCAATGAGGTTCACGGCGCCATCAGCTCGATGAACAGGCTTTGTGTGAAATATAACAGAGTCTAGAACTGCTTTTAGTGTCCTTGTGGCCTAGCCGGTAAGCGCTCCCTAGTCCCACCCAGTAGGTCGAGGGTTCGATTCCTTGCTGGTGAGGTCGTTGATTATATGTTCAAAGTCCGCGTGTTATATGGACTAAAAATGAAGTATATATATGTACCTCGCGTTTCATACTAGCTGGATTCGGTAAAATGCTACTGACACCACATAAGAGGCACGGGCAGTTTCCCATTGAGGTTCACGGCGCCATCAGCTCGATGAACAGGCTTTGTGTGAAATATAACAGAGTCTAGAACTGCTTTTAGTGTCCTTGTGGTCTAGCCGGTAAGCGTTCCCTAGTCACACCCAGTAGGTCGAGGGTTCGATTCCTTGCTGGTGAGGTCGTTGATTATATGTTCAAAAGTCCGCGTGTTATATGGACTAAAAATGAAGTATATATATGTACCTCGCGTTTCATACCAGCTGGATTCGGTAAAATGCTACTGACACCACATAAGAGACACGGGCAGTTTACCATTGAGGTTCACGGCGCAATCAGCTCGATGAACAGGCTTTGTGTGAAATATAACAGAGTCTAGAACTGCTTTTAGTGTCCTTGTTGCCTAGCCGGTAAGCGTTCCCTAGTCACACCCAGTAGGTCGAGGGTTCGATTCCTTGCTGGTGAGGTCGTTGATTATATGTTCAAAGTCCGCGTGTTATATGGACTAAAAATGAATTATATATATGTACCTCGCGTTTCATACCAGCTGGATTCGGTAAAATGCTACTGACACCACATAAGAGGCACGGGCAGTTTCCCATTGAGGTTCACGGCGCCATCAGCTCGATGAACAGGCTTTGTGTGAAATATAACAGAGTCTAGAACTGCTTTTAGTGTCCTTGTGGCCTAGCCGGTAAGCGTTCCCTAGTCACACCCAGTAGGTCGAGGGTTCGATTCCTTGCTGGTGAGGTCGTTGATTATATGTTCAAAGTCCGCGTGTTATATGGACTAAAAATGAAGTATATATATATATATATATATTTTTTTTTTTTTTTTTTTTTTTTTTTTATACTGTATAAGTCGACTACAGAACTTCCACGCTGCAAAGTGGCACCACTTTGACCATCCGACGCTTATATGACTGTAGTCCAGTATAACGTAAAGTACACTTCATTTGGTCCATACATCGTCTTAGTAAGAGATATTGTCAAAGTGGATTTGTAAGAAGTTAATAAAAACTCCAATTAGATTTTGTCTTATTTTTTTCTTTACCATGAGATAAATGTTGTTGCTGATATAGTTTTAATTTATTCTTGATCATATAAATACATTTCATAATGTTTGCAATTATAAACTTTAAATAGATTTTGTTTTATATTTTACTATGAGAGGATTTTGTCCGTTGTGCGTTTTGACCGGCGGGTTTTTTATGCGGTAGGGTGGGGTTTATGTCCTGTGAGGTTTTTGTCCGGGGGGTTTCAGTTCGCGGGGTTTTTGTCCGCAGGGATTTTGTCCTGTGGGGATTTTGTCATGGACCCATACATACTACAGGTAGTAATAAGAACATAAGAATGGAGGAAACTGCAGAGGGCCTATTGGCCCATACTGGGAACTCCCATTTACTTCCAACCCTTATTGCTCATATATCCATCCAACCTATGTTTGAAGCTATCCAGCGTATTCGAGTTAATGATGATATTTGGTAACTTGTTCCACTCGTCTACTACTCCATTTCCAAACCAATGTTTACCTATTTCGCGCCTAAATCTAAATTTGTCTAATTTAAAACCATTGTTACGAGTTCGCTCCTGGTTGGATAATTTAAGTACCTTTGTAATGTCCCCTTTGCTTTGCCCTGACTTCCATTTATACACCACTATCATGTCGCCCCTCACTCTACGCGTCTCGAGGGAGTGCAAATTAAGATGCTTTAACCTGTCTCTGTACTCAAGGTTCCTAATGCCTGGGATTAGTCTTGTCATTCTCCTCTGAATTCTTTCCAAGGATTCTATATCCATTCTGTAATACGGTAACCAGAATTGAACTGCATAATCCAAGTGATGTCTCACAAGTGCAAGATATAGTTTTAAGATGACCTCGCCAGTCTTGTAACTAACACTCCTTTGTATGAACCCAAATACTTTATTAGCCTTGTTTCGAGCAAATACACATTGTTTACTTGGCTTAAGATTCCTACTTATCATTACTCTTAAATCTCTCTCGCAGTCAGATTTCTCAATAACATCTGTTTACATCTCCTATACTGAGTACTTTACCTTTGTCCACATTGAATTTCATCTGCCATTTTTCAAACCATTCGAAAAATTTGTTAAGATCTTCTTGCAGTTTTGCTGAGTCCTCGTCAGATTTAATTACACGCCCTATTTTAGTGTCATCAGCAAATTTACTTATGTTGCTGTGTACGCTGATATCTATGTCGTTTATGTATATAATAAATAATAATAGTCCAAGTACTGAGCCGTGCGGGACTCCACTAGAGACGTTGCTGCAGTGGGATTCAGTGCCGTTAATGCTCACTCGCTGTTTCCTGTCCTGTAACCACGCTCTAAACCATTTTAGAATATCACCCTGAATGCCATGAGCCTCCACTTTTCTTGTTAGTCTTTCGTGGGGGACTCTGTCGAAGGCTTTGCTAAAGTCCAGGTATACCGCATCATAATTGTGCCCCTGTGCACTGATTAGAAAACTGATGAAAAGAATGTTAATAGATTTGTTAGACATGAATGCCCGCTTGTGAAGCCATGTTGGGAATCATTGATCAACTTGTGCTTCTCCAGGTGATTTCAAATAGAGTTTGAAATGATTGCTTCCAGTAATTTTCCTACAAATTATGTTAGACTGATTGGACGGTAGTTAGAGGATAGTGATCTATCTCCCTTCTTGAAAATCGGTATTACATTCGCTATCCTCCAGGATTCTGGTACTACACCTGTTTTAAAGGACACGTTAAACAACTTTGCTAAGAGCATACTAAGCTCTTCCTTACATTCCTTTAATACTCTGGGAAATATCTCATCGGGACCAGGTGACTTATTAGGCTTTAGTTTGTCTAGTTGCTTACTAATATCGTTACTAGTCACTACTATCTCGCTTAATTTATTTTCTTCACTATCTCTGTATAGAGTCGGAGCCTCGGGTATCATGTTTAAATTTTCAGTGGTGAAAACTGTTGAAAAATATTTATTCAGATTATTGCTCATTTCTTCGTCGTTATCAGTTAGCTCGCCGGTATCTGACTGTATTGGTCCAACCTTTTCTCATGTTTTAGTTTGATACATTTGATAGAATCCCTTGGGGTTTGACTTCGCCTCCCTTGCTATCATCAGCTCATTATTCCTCTTTGCTTTTCTTATCTCGGTCCCCTACCGGCCAATACCTTATAGTAATCTCGGAGGTAAACTTCACCACGATTTATTCTCCTACCTATAGCCTTCCTTTGTCCAAAAATGTTCTTTAAATAATTAATTATCCATTTAAGGTCATTGTTGTTTGATCTGAGTTTTTTGTATGGTATGATCTGCTTTTGTGCATTAAGTAACTCATTATTTGAATTGTCGTGGAACTCGGCAACCTCAGATCTCGTTATGAGGTCAATCTCAACCGTCAGGTCTCCGGGTAGGGTGAGGTCGCCCTCTGTGGGTACATTGTGTGAGGTCACGATTTCTGCAGTAGTGGGTTTCGTCATAAAGTATAGGCTGTTATTTAAGGTGGCAGATGTCCATTCTCAAAGATTCGCATGTTAATTATTTCTAACTGAATAGAAATTAAAAATCATGAACTTGAGGAGTATAAGCGTTTGTCACGATTTAACGACCACCATCTTCACAATGGAGAACAGCTTAACGTGTGAATCTTTGAGAATAAAGATTGGCAAAGAGGAGTGTCTTGGGGACTGCTGACCCTTTGTCTCAAACCGGTGTAGCAACCTAGGGGCAATGAAGGTACCTGCTGTAAATCGAAAGTTGCAATTGTATTCAGACAAGTTGTTGGAGCTTCCAATAACTTGCTTAGATATAAACCTTGACTCTTAAGGCTTAGCGCCCTTGACTCTTCAGGCTTCTACGCCCTTGACTCTTCAGGCTTCTCGCCTTAACTCATGAGACATAAAGGCAAGCATGAACTTAGCATGCTTCCCTGTTGGGCGCTGTAAACGCTTCTGCGCTTTCACCTTACACAAGGATGGGGTGCCCATAAATAATAAAAATAAATAAATAAAAGTGAAGCGTTAGTAAAAATGAAGTGCCAGACGCACAACTCATCGGACAGCGGCTGACAGCGGTCGGTTGGCGCTGCTCTGCAGTCGGCCTCAGTTGAAGTCAGTTCTGCTTAGATGATGGACATGCATTCCTGCCATGTACGTGCTTATACGTTTGGTATTACTTAAATCATATTATTTTAATACTGTTTAGTGAGTGTTACCCCAAAGGTCAAGATATTGTGTGATGATAATATATATATATATATATATATATATATATATATATATATATATATATATATATATATATATATATATTATATATATATATATATATATATATATATATATATATATATATATATATATATATATATATATATATATATATATATATATATATATATTTATATATTTATATATTTATATATTTATATATTTATATATATATATATTTATATATATATATATATTTATATATATATATATATATATATATATATATATATATATATTATTTTTTAACTTAGACATAGGCCAATTGCAAGAACAGTCGTGGGTGTACTGTACGATGCCATTTTCGATGACCTTCTTGCCCTGATCTTGTTTCAGTTATACCACCCTTTGAAGCTCTGGAGATCTCGAAATTTCGACATTTTGAGTACAGCACTAGCTAATATTCCCATCAGGAAACTTGTTTCGAGACTCCTCCAAAGCTTCGAAAAGTGCAGAATTCCATGTGTTAAAGGCGATATTGCTGAAAAAAGACCAGGGCAGGAAGGTCATCGTAAATGGCATCGTACACCCCACGACTGTTCTTCAATTGGCCCATAGCCTGCCCCGAAAGTTATGAACATTTAGATCTCCCTATTCTGAGCTTTTGAACTCCATATATACCATTGGAAGGAAGGTGTGGTTGTGCTATTTATGATGTATGCCAAGCGTAAGATTGATTTTCCACCGGTCTGCATTTTAAGAAAAGTTGAATGTTTTAAAACTTAAACGTG